GGTGACATCTACTATTTGGAGAATATTTGCGCAGCTGGACAAAAACGTACACGATCGAAGATGAACTTAACATCGATGCAGGTAAGCACGTTTTAGCTATTTTTTTTAAACTACGAATTATTTTGAATGAATAATAAAACAATTATTGAATTCGGCTGTCGTATCATATGAAGAATTATGGAGATCGAGGAGGGTGTTATCCGCGATAATACTCCTCCTCAATCTCCATAATTCTCCATAAGATACTCAGCCTCATTCATTTATTGTTAAATAATTTGTAAAAAGTTCAACTTGTTGCTAATCAAAACCATAGTCTCCTTAGATCGGTATTTTTCCATCCGCTTTCTGCCGTCTTTCCGTCTCCGTATTAAGGAATCCTTAATCTGCTTAATTCTCCATATCCTACTTAGCCTCCTTCATTGATTGCTAAATAATATAGTATTAATTAGGCTAATTATTACTACACACTATTAGGCTAATTATTACTAGTATTAGGCAAATTATTACTACACACTTGGCTCCGGAGTCGGCATTGGTATCAAGCAGCAGCATATGTTTTTCTTGTTCTTCTTCCTTTTCCCACAGGAGTGTCCGCATGCTTCATAACCGTTTGGGCAGGATTCACCTTTGATGCACTCGCCTCCCTGTTTCATACAAGAATTTCCTGTTAAAAAATAAATTGATGTCTTATCCCTTTCACGTACAGTTTGACAGGAGGGGCCGGGGGAGGAGGGAAGGAGTGGGCCGGGTGGAAAGGAGTAGGCCGTGGGGAAAGGAGTGGGCTGGGGAGGAAGGAGTCGGCCGTGTCGGATTGGGTTGTTGTACGTTATGTATCCCTACGTCCAAGATTTTTTATTCGATTTTTTAAAGCGCTTTCAGGAGACAGAACCCATCCACTTCACTAGCTCTTTAATTATTGATTACTCAGAGACATTTTGGCAATTCATTCCCGGCGATTAAAGTTTCTAATTAACACAATCTTTTTATGTCTCTCTTTTTTTCTTCACCGACCAAATTTTGAAATTAAAACAGTAAACTGATCCTTACTGGAGGAAGTGCATGGCTTATTAACTCAAATATCCCCCCAAAAGTGATCACGAGTAGACTACGAGTAGACCCCATTTTTCCTCAGGGATAGTAGAGCGAGCGAAACGCGAGCGCTCGTGAAAATCGCCCCATGCGAGAAAGACGAGACGCGGCGGGAAAAGAGAACGACCGGGGACAAGGCAGCTTGAAAAGTCAAAAAGTTGCCCCGTCCTTGAATGAGACGATGTGAAAATAGGACTGTTTAGCCTCCTCTCAGGATATTGAAATAGCTAAAAGTGTAAAACTTACATTACTGTTAGTTATCGAAGAAAATGTTTTAGAAGTATTTCGTGCCATTTCCGAACTCTTAACCAACAAAATTTCACCGTGGGAGTAGCCCTCGGACCCCTTCTTAGTATGATCACCTTTTTTGCGTCCTCGGATTGCAAGTTGTGCTTTCTGGTCCGTGGCATAACCCATACCCTGGGTGCCAGAGACTTTTCTAGCGCGGTTTCCGGTTTCTGTCAAGTCTTTATAGTGACCCGCACGAAAAGCTTTTTTCTCGCGGCTTCGCCGCTCGTGGCTTCGGCCTACGGCCGAAAATGTGTCGGCCTTTGGCCAACACCGAAAATTCCCGCCGCACGCGAGAAAAACCTCTGGTACCCAGGGTACATAACCCACAGCCAACAGACCAAGAACCACGATAAACAACAGGCTTTTCATCTTCAGTTTCACTCTTCTTTGCCAACAGAATGGTATTAATAGAAACTGAAAACCAAAATAAAAAATGTCATATTAAAATCTGCAAAGCTGGTCGCACTTTGTGAAAATTATAATTTGCAAGACATCAACCAACGTTTTCAAAGTTTTAACGCAGCTATGCCCTCGGATTTCACCAAGAGGGATTATTACAATTAGTGCTCTCTGATGAAATTTGTATACATAAACCTACAGGGACATTTTCTGAACGGGTGAAGGCACTAAGAAATGTCTTCAGCAGTCAATTGACCTAAAAAAGCAACTCCTCGTTACATAGTACCTTTCAAAAGTGCTCTATCACAAAACAAACTGTCTCATCCAAATGAAAACTTCTGAAAAGGTGAGGGATAAAACGCTCTCACCTGAAACTAGTCTTAGAAGGATTGACGATTTTTAGATTAAAATCTTGATTACGTCTCATGGAAACCAAGAATCAAGGATTTTTACCAAGGAAAAAAGAACAACCAATGCATTGATCGCGACGGGTTAAAACTAAAATGAGTTTTTCACCGGACAATGCCTTAGCAAAATTAATCTTAATTCTTAACTCAAGACAAAGGCAAGCCTATTAGTAGAATTCAGTGTTGGGAGCTAAAAATATCATCGTTCACGTACGAAAAACTAAACATTATACACCTTAAAAAAATAATTTAACAACCTAAAGAACAACCGACCATACTTAACAAAGATGGTAAATATCGAGCAGAAAAATCAAGTAAAATTAGTTCATTGACGTGGTCACGAAATTATATTTCTTTCTTTTTTATATTCTCAGAGGAAAAACGACGATGAAGTTTTACGAAACCTTGGCCATTTAGTTTTAGGGTGGCGACAAATAATTATATTAAATCAAGAACAGATGAAAATCTCAAATAGTTCTTAAAAATCTAGTATACCGATTCACTTACCGGATGAGTTAACACCGAAGGAGATACCACAAGCTTATGGCTTGTTAAAGTACCCATTTTCTTGCCTATATTTATTTAGTCATTTAACAAATCTAATAACCTCGATCTATTCAAGAATTTGGCTAAGAAACGTTTATACTTCAGTAACAATGTACTTGAAGGATCAATTTTATACAGAAACCAATTACTGTCGAAAATTCGTCCAAAGACCTGATTAATCCTTCATTAATTACACCTAATTACTCTTTGATGAATTCTCATCATAGAAGAAGCCTCAAAAATATGATTTTAATTCCGTTAAGTAAGATTATTTGATTACCAACAACTCTGATCTGGAAATCGGACAAGAAGTCGTCTTTCTAATATAGCTTGTTTTCTATATAAAAAAAAAAAACAGAATTTGTTATAGACGAGATATTTCCTTCAACAAATGGGGTAAAACAAGTATAAGTCAGAAAGCCATGGATTTAAAAATTAACATTTAAATTACCACTAACATTTCATTACCATGATCGTAAAACAATTCGTGACATTGCTCAGAAACTCTTCGGTTCAAAAAGGAACTTGTTTTTGTCAGAGAGCAATTTCTCTGGATGGCTCATCTATAACTATCTCCTTTCCTTTGTCACACTCGGAATGGCATCAAAGTGGTGAATGTAAAATTTGGCGATTATTTTTATAAAAAAAAATTGTTACAAACCGAGCTCTAATAACATCTAAAAGATTATTTTCTTACGAAAGTCTTGTTAAAAAACCTTATACTAGAAGGCACTTTAAATATACAACTTTCTTAATAAATGACACTGTTTCATTTTTTTAATAGTTTCAGTGCAGTAGTTTGTCTGATTGTAAACCAGTAAATTCCCACTTCGGTGGATTTCGCTTAATTATTGATAGGTCGCCATGTGATTCGTAGGTTCCTGCCCATCTGTAAAAAATTATTGTAGATTTACATGTAAACTTAAATTTTGAACATTTTTTTTTAAGCAGTAAGTCACTGGTTTAGTAAAAGTGTATCATACCCGTGTCTGAATGTCCCGATTGTGCTCGTTAAAAGCTAGAAAATTGCTACCTACATTTCTAGATTTTTTTTATGTATAAACGCTAATTAAAAGCTTTATTTTTCCTTCTTCGCAATAATTGCTAACGTCGGTCGAGAAAAATAGCTCGGATAAATACATTTTATCGCAAATATGTGCGCAATTTAAGGATACCCAATCTTGCTCAGTCTTACTCAGACTAGAGCAACTAGATTATTCCTCTGGGGTTTGATTGGGTGTCACGTGACGTGGTAGCTCCCCTTAGGCCTGTCCCGATTCACCATTTTCACATAGGCCATAATGCATCTTGTTTAGCTCCCAAAATTTCGCATAACCATTGTCTTCCATTTCTCTTGGGCCGACTGTAATAGTAATAAAATATATAGTAATATACTGAAAGAAAATTTAAATTAACTATGCAACAAATGATTGTCTACAACACGTAATATCTCCCAACACCTTTATTTCTTTGTTGTTTGGCTCACTGAGTCGTGTATTGATCATGATCGCTTGATATAATTCTACGTGGAAGACCAGCCGACAATTTCATGTCCAGTACCTTCACGGCAGCTGTGGGCCGCTCTACAGCTTTAAAAATATCTCGCTCAATATTTGCTCCTTCGAATAGTAATTTTACAGAAAAAAAGTCGTTGGGTGCCCCCGTAAATTTGGCTTAATAGGACAGCGTATGGAAGTCCCTGAGATATATCCAAAATTACTCGAAATGATCATTGGTGGATGGTAATGTTCGGTGCGATGCCAGTTGAGATACTGATAGCTAAATTAAATTCATTATTCAAAAATACAAACAAATGATTGTCTACAACAAGTAATATCTCCCAACACCTTTATTTCTTTGTCGACAAGTTTGGCTCACTGAGTATGTTGATCGCCCACTATAATTCTACATGTGAGACTAGCCTAAAAAGGCTACAATTTCAGTAGCTTTACGGCAGCTTTGGGCCAGACTCATTTTTTTTCTCCATCTGGCAAACAATATGCCTGGATTCCGCACAGACATCGTTATTCCACTTTCCTTTGCCACTTCCGCTGACGTACATACTCCCACAGTTCTCTGATCCAGCAAGGTTAGGCTCACCGGTATTCCATGCAGAGAAGGTATCGGCCACAGAAGTCCCGTCGAGCCACTCAAAGACGTTGTCGCCATTGGGTGCTATCATTCCAAGCCGTGCATTACCCTGTCCCTCCGTCAGACTCAAAAGGAAGGCGTTCTCCTCCACTGATTTGATGATTGGCAGGGTTGCTCCTAGTTGCTTGCATAGGTAAAGTCCCACAAATGCGTCCTTTTTCCGGAGAGTACTAAGTAGCACTGATTTCCGTTTTCAACCCAGCCCTGTGGACAAGCTAAACCGAGATACAAAACATAATTTTCGTGGTAAGTCTTTCTAATGAAATAAAGTTTGGAAAACGTCGAACCTTGTCATAAGCATTTTTCACTTTTTTCGCAGCTGAGAAACTGCTCAAACTGCTTGTGATAGAATAGTTATCAATTCATTACATATTACTGCGAATTGTGCTGGAAAATAAGGATATCAGTTGGCTTACATAGTTCTCCGTCCTTCCGATACCTTTTCAAATGTCTTCTGAAAGCTTACCTCAGCCCTTCCGCGCGGCCGGAAGTCTCAAGTCTAGCTACAAAACACTAATTACGTACGCTTTGCCTAGTCCCTGTCGGCGTCTTTCCAGGCCCTCTCGGTTAATGCATTTAGCTGACGTCTCAATCGGCCGGTGTGCAATAACGAGGTCTGGGTCTAGGCCAAGGTACGCCCACGAACATATAACTATCTTGCTAAGAAACTATGCCATCCTAATTGCTAACTTTTTTAAAAGCTAAAACGTGTCTTCGCACCAATTGAATTCCAAAAATAATGGTCCAGTTTCGTTATGCTGCTCTGTGTATTCTTATCATTTGTGATACGTGTACTGTACTCTATTATAACTTCAAACTTGGAATGAAAAGCGTCTTAATCAAGGAAACAATGAAGGAAATAAAAGGCAACATCATCGGTGGCAAATTACTCCTTAATTTTGGCGCGAAAATAAAATTTCACATCGGAAGCCGAGTACAAAATTGCTATAATAGGGACCTTAAGATCCGAGGACGGCGACGGCAAAGAAAACGTCGCTGAAAAAGTGAAATCGCGTTCTTTCAATCTTCATCGCGATTAATCCAAGTAACTAACTTTGTCAAATAGACTTCAAATGTAGGCGAACCCTCCTAAATATGAATTCCTAAGAACCATACGCAAGTTCAGAAAGAGAGAGGAAATTTCGACGTCGCTTACAATTGTGTACTTCCTCTGTACATCGTGAAATGAGGCATTTTCACGTCCTAGTCGTGCAGTGACGGCAAAGAAATGTACAAAAAAGCGCGATGCACGTGCAAAATTGTTGTTTTGCTAATTAAACCTATTGCTTTTGTGGCGTTTCCGTTGCCGTGGCCGTCGTCGGATCTTAAGGTCCCTATTACAATGACGTTCAGTACGTCTCAGTGCCAAGATGGCGTCAAGGTTTTAAACCCGTTATGAGTGAAGATGTCAGGGCCCTTTAAAAGACTCTTTTTCGAAAACCTAAAAACACGAAACAGCGCATCGAGAATTCTAACAGGTATTTTTTCGAAAAAGTTAGTGAATAGTGCCATTAAGCCAAAACTTAGGCCTTGAATTTGTTACCCATGACATGAATAGGTATATAAAGGCTAAAAAAATTCTTAGAAGTTGGACAAAAAACGGCGTGTATTTCATCCTATTTTCAATCGTCGCTATTTGATTACACAGGCTAATTATTACTAATATAATATAGTATTTAAATTAGGCTAATTATTATTACATACTATTAGGCTAATTATTACTACACACTTGAGCAGCATGTTTTTTTCTTGTTCCTCTTCCCTTTCCCACAGGAGTATCCCAATGCTGTATAACCGTTTGGGCAGGATTGACCTTTGACGCACTTGCCTCCTTGATTCTTACAAGAATTTCCTGTTAAAATACAAATTGATGTCTTATCCCTTTCGCGTACAGTTTGACAGGAGGGGCCGGGGGAGGCCGGGGGGGTGAAGGAGTGGGTTGGGGGAAAAGGAGGGGCTGGGGGGAGGGTGGGCCAGGGGGGAAAGGGGGGGGGGGGGGAAGGAGTCGGGTAGGCTGGGGGGGGGAAAGGAGTGGACCGGGGGAAGGAGTCGGCCGGGGGGCGGATTGGGTTGTTGTACCTTATGTTTCCCTACTGCCAAGATTTTTTATTCGATTTTTAAAGCGTTTTCAGGAGACGGAACCATTCCACTTCAGAAGCTCTTTTTAATTATTGATTACTCAGAGACATTTTGGCACTTCATTCCCGGCGATCAAAGTTTCTAATGAACACAATCTTTTTTTATGTCTCTTTTTTTCTTCACTGACCAAATTTTGAAATTAAAACAGTAAACTGATCCTTACGGGAGGAAGTTCATGGCTTATTAACTCAAATATCCCCCAGAAAGTGATCACGAGTAGATTATATAAACGAGTAGTCCCCATTTTTCCTCAGGGATAGTAGAGCGAGCGAAACGCGAGCGCGCGTGAAAATCGCTCCACGCGAGAAAGGCGATACGCGGCGGGGACAAGGCAGCTTGAAAAGTCAAAACGTTGTCCAGTCCTTGAATGAGACGATGTGAAAATAGAACTGTTTAGCCTCCTCTCAGGATATTGAAATAGCTAAAAGTATAAAACTTATATTACTGTTAGTTATCAAAGAAAAAGTGTTAGTAGTATTTCGTGCCATTTCCGAACACTTAACCATCAAAATTTCACCGTGGGAGTAGCCCTCGGACCCCTTCTTAGTACGATCACCTTTATACCTCGGATTGCAAGTTCTGCTTCCTGGTCCCTGGCATAACCCACAGCCAGGAGACTAAGAACCACGATAAAAAACAGGCTTTTCATCTTTCACTCTTCTTTGCCAAGAGAATGGTATTAATTGAAACTGAAAACCAAAATAAAAAATGTCATATTAAAATCTGCAAACTGAGCTAGTCGCACTTGTGAAAATTATAATTTGCAAGACATCAACCACCGTTTTCAAAGTTTTAACGCAGCTGTGCCTTCAGATTTCACCACGAAAGATTATTACGATTAGTGCTCTCTGATGAAATTTGTATTCATAGACCTACAGGCACATTTTCTGAATGGGTGAAGGTACTAGGAAATGTCTTCAGCAGAGAATTGACCTAAAAAAGCAACTCCTCGTTACATAGTACCTTTCAAAAGTGCTCTATCACAAAACAAACTGTCTCATCTAAAAGGGTGAAAGATAAAACGCTCTCACCTGAAACTAAAATCTTAGAAGGATTGACGATTTTTAGATGAAAATCTTGATTACGACTCATGGAAACCAAGAATCAAAGATTTTTACCAAGGTAAAAGAACAACCAATGCATTGATCGCGAACGGGTTAAAACGTTCTAAAATGAGTTTTTCGCAGGACAATGCCTTAGCAAAATTAATCTTAACGTCTTAATTCTTAACTCAAAAAAAAGGGAAGCCTATTAGTAGAATTCGGTGTTGGGAACCAAAAATATCATCGTTCACGTACGAAAAAACTAAACATTATACATGTCTTAAAAATAATTTAATAGCCTAAAGAACAACCAACCATACCACTTAACAAAGACTTCATGGTAAATATCGAGCAGGAAAATCAAACAAAATTAGTTCATTGACGAGTTCACGAATTTATATTTCTTTTTTTTTATATTCTCAGAGAAAAAAACGATGATGAAGTTTTACGAAACCTTGGCCATTTAGTTTTAGGGTGGCGACTTATAATTGTGTACTAAATCAAGAACATATCAAAATCTCAAGTGCTACTTAAAATCTAGTATACCGATTCACTTACCCGATGAGTTGACGCTGAAGGAGATACCACAAGCTTATGACTTGTACCTGTTTTCTTGCCTCTATTTATTTGGTCATTTAACAAATCAAATAACCTCTATTCAAGAATTTTGCTAAGAAACGTTTATACTTCAGTAACAATGTAAATTGAAGGATCAAATTTAACGTATTCGTTACAAAAACTAGCTGAACATTCTTTCTACGATTGTTTACGAACCGACTTTTACTAGTTGAACGTGACAACTGTTTTGACTGTGAAATTTAGCCGGCAATCAAAGCCACCGGGAATTCATATTTTTAAGTTTTTAAAAAACTTTACTAGTACTAGTAAAAAATTTTCTTTCAAAATTCTTTAACAGTAAAAAATATTTTTCATTGATTTTCTTAATGGGCAAAAAAGGCTGGACCTTTTAGCGAGATTTTCATTTACTAGTATATAAATTACATTTACTAATAAATGGTAAAACGGGCGAAAAGGGCTTGACCTTTAGCGAGATTTTCATTTACTGGTATCTTGACACTATGTACTAGTAAATTGTGGAATAGGCAAAAAGGTTTGACCTTTTAGCGACATTTTCATTTACTAGTATCTTGATACTAATTACTAGTAAATGGTGGAATGGGCGAAAAAGGCTTGACCTTTTAGCGAGATTTTCATTTACTAGTATCTTCACACTATTTGCTAGTAAATTGTGGAATGGGCGAAAAGGCTTGACCTTTTAGCGAGATTTTCATTTACTAGTATCTTGACACTATGTACTAGTAAATTGTGGAATGGGCGAAAAAGGTTTGACCTTTTAGCGAGATTTTCATTTACTAGTATCTTGACTCTATTTACTAGTAAATGGTGGAATGGGCGAAAAAGGTTTGTCCTTTTAGCGAGATTTTCATTTACTAGTATCTTGACTCTATTTACTGGTAAATTGTGGAATGGGCAAAACAGGTTTGACCTTTTAGCGAGATTTTCATTCACTAGTATCTTGATACTAATTACCAGTAAATTGTGGAATGGGCGAAAAAAGGTTTGACCGTTTAGCGAGATTTTCATTTACTAGTATCTTGACGCTATGTACTGGTAAATTGTGGATAGGCAAAAAAAGGTTTGACCTTTTAGCGAGATTTTCATTTACTAGTATCTTGACTCTATTTACTAGTAAATGGTGGAATGGGCGAAAAAGGTTTGACCTTTTTAGCGAGATTTTCATTTACTAGTATCTTGACTCTATTTACTGGTAAATTGTGGAATGGGCAAAACAGGTTTGACCTTTTAGCGAGATTTTCATTCACTAGTATCTTGATACTAATTACTAGTAAATTGTGGAATGGGCGAAAAAGGTTTGACCTTTTAGCGAGATTTTCATTTACTAGTATCTTGACTCTATTTACTGGTAAATTGTGGAATGGGCAAAACAGGTTTGACCTTTTAGCGAGATTTTCATTCACTAGTATCTTGATACTAATTACTAGTAAATTGTGGAATGGGCGAAAAAGGTTTGACCTTTTAGCGAGATTTTCATTTACTAGTATCTTGACACTATGTACTAGTAAATTGTGGAATAGGCAAAAAAGGTTTGACCTTAGCGAGATTTTCATTTACTAGTATCTTGACACTATGTACTGGTAATTATAAATTGTGGATAGGCAAAAAGGTTTGACCTTTTAGCGAGATTTTCATTTACTGGTATCTTCACACTATTTACTAGTAAATTGTGAAACGGGGAGGTCCTCATTTATTAGTATCCTAACACTATTTACTAGTAAATGGTGGAATGGGCAAAAAAGGCTTGACCATTTAGCGACATTTTCATTTACTAGTATCTTGACACTAATTACTAGTAAATGGTGGAACGGGCCAAAACGGCTTGACTTATTAGCGAGATTTTCATTTTCTAGTAAATTGTGCGAATGGGCGAAAAAGGTTTGACCTTTTAGCGAGATTTTCCTTTACTAGTATATAAATTACATTTACCAATAAATGGTAAAACGGGCCAAAAGGGCATGACTTTTTAGCGAGATTTTCATTTACTAGTATCTTCACACTATTTACTTGTAAATTGTGGAAGGGACGAAAAAGTCGTGACTTTTTAGCGAAATTCTCATTTACTAGTAAATTGTGGAATGGGCGAAAAAGGTTTGACCTTTTAGCGAGATTTTCATTTACTAGTATCTTGACTCTATTTACTAGTAAATGGTGGAACGGGCCAAAAAGGCTTGACTTGTTAGCGAGATTTTCATTTACTAGTATTTGTTCACTATTTACTAGTAAATGGTGGAACGGGCAAAAAGTGCATGAGTCCCCCCCCCCCCCCCTCAACCCGGTGGCAGGAAACAAGAAATGCCCAGTCTGAAGAGGGTTAATATTGTTTTGAGTATATATTCTTTTTAAATTTTGGGTTTTTCATTTATTTACTTAATATTTATTCACTAGAGAACCATACTTTGCTTATATAACAACAAACTTTTATAAGGAACCAAGGCCTGGACAAAAATAGGGGATTTACAAGAGTTCAATGTCCTCCGATGGAATTTCATCGCCCGGAACAACAATATTGTGAGTGCTATCGAAAACATCGAAGGAAATCTTATACTGCTTGGTCTGCTTGTTGTAATTTATAATAGTTCCCACGAACCACCCCCTCCCAGTTCCGTCGGCAACAGCTGTTTCTACGTTCACTCGTCTATTTATCAGCAAGCCGTTGTCTGTTGAAAAGAAAAACACACAAACCACCATCAAATGAATTAACAAAAATGAATGCCTAACTGCAGATTATGCCTTGTGCCCTCACGGTTATAGCTCCAGTAAATTTTAAGACAACGAAAGTTATCTATTTCCATCGTAACACATTGCTGAGCAATGGATTAGAAGCACTCCATGGCATGGGAAATTGTGTACAAATTATCCAATGCACTTTAGACATAGGTGCGGAGCCCAATTATTTTAGCTGACATGCCCAAATTTCCCACTTCTTGATTTTCGATGGTAAAGAAATTCCATTTATATGTCTGCATCGCTACTTTCTCACTCAATACGTTCTTAAATTTAGTTTTATATAAGGACAACCAGTTTCCCTCGTTAGATCACTATAATTGACATTAACAAATCCAAATAAACAATTTTTCCTTCTCTTTTTTTTTTTTTTTTTTCGCTTGGTTTTTAAAGCGTCTGGTGGACCTGAAAAAAAGCTTTGATTTCATTTAGTTTAGGACACATTAGACGCCACTGTGTGCTTTTTTTTTACTGATTTTCTAAATCTTACAATCTTATCCATAACAGTAAATTTCATGTCTAATAGTTTTCTTGGAATAAAATGTTCGTTATTGGCAGCAATCCATTTTTATTTAGCCCCTCATGACAATGTCATATTCCCCGGCTTTCCAGGTAGGTTTATTGTCCATGAGTACTTCGTGCCAAGAAGTTGTAAGCAACAATAAGATAATAAATTTCTTGACTTGTCTTGTGTAAAGGCCCTTTCATCTAATTCCTGAATTCAACTTTACAGTAATCCCAATAGCACTGAAAAGTAACTAATTTTAGCAATAACTACGTACTTTTGATTTCGTCTTTGCAGTAGCATGATCCCATCATGCTCCTCATCCATGAGAGTAAAAGCAGTTGTAAACATGCCTAATAAACAGGAAATTGAAATGTTTTAAACTCTAAAATAGATTTAAAAGAGAATGTGACGCCTTTCCTCATTCTCTGTCTGTAGATGAAGCTTTTCTGGCCTTTTCCAACAGAGTAAGTGAAGATAATTAAAAATTTCCATTGATGTTGGCGTGTACAGATGAAAGTGTACAGATTTTTTTTGTTTTAGCATATCAATGAAAAAAATTAGTGCTTACATAAATGCCTCTCTCTGGTCCACCATTCCTTCCAGGCCTTTGCTTTCTTCCAGGAGGAATTAGTTATCAATTGTGTTCCCTCTCTTAATTTTTATCAGTTATGAAAGCTGCCGCACTGCTGACGTGCTTTTGACCCGCCAAAACGTCGAAAAGCAGGAGAACTTCTTCCTTCTTCTTTACATCTTCTATTTTCTACGCCAGGTGCTGGAAGGTTGTTATCTCATCTTTATTTGAGCAGACAGGGTGGCTTACCCTCTTGTATGAACGTGACCAATGTACCTGAAAACAAAACAAAACCAAAAAAAATTGGTTTGTTTGTTTGTTCTTTTTTTTTTTTTTTTTTTCGTTCCTTTCTCCGAGGAAAAATACAATTCATTTGTTTATTAATAAATACTAGTGAACTTCTGATTGGAAGTAGACGATTCGACTATGATGGAGCTAACTGAAGATACCCTAGTCCTTCAAAATTGCCTAACGAAAATAATATAACATAATTATATGTTTGTTGGACATTGACCACAATTTTGTACTTATTTTATTTTTGCATTAACATTGTTGTGGCAATGATATATGTTTGGAATGTCTAAAATTAAATTTTATGTTTACACGTTATCTCGGGCGTGTGGGACCGGTGAAGGGAAAACAAAGTTGATTTGGGTTTCAATGAAACTAATCAAGTTCACCTTGCACCCACGAAGAATTTTACTCGTCATATCCTTTCCGAGGGGCTCTTCGAGTCCGTTAACTTCGGCGTCAGAAAAATCAACCGTAATCGCTTCGATCCTTTCTCCATTGTTAAAATATTCATATTGTTGGTTGACTGAGGAGAAAATTTCACTAAAATCTTTCCCATGGGGTTCTCCATTCTGTTTGTTTAAAAGACATCGTGCTACGGGAGTCCCTGCATGAAGAGAGAGAACGTGAAATGAATTACGCTTATATTTCTAACATTACAGTTATACCTATATGCATTTGTCGCTTGACCATTCACTTTTTTCACATAGGCCAGAATGCACCGTGTTTACCCCCCAAATTTTGCATACCCATTGTCTTCAATTTTTATTTGGGAGGACTGTAATACCCAGGAGAAATTGAAAACAATGGTCTTGCAAAATTGGGGGGGGGGAAGGGTAACTAGATGCATTATGATCTATGTGAAATGGTGAATTTACCCTGTTACAGGGTATATTTTATTCGAGTGTAAGGTAATATATTTTTTGTCATAACGGTATGCAAACTAAGAGAATATCAGCCGTATATGTATCTGGTTAGCTATCGTTTCTTGTCAGCAACAACAACAACAACTTTATTCCAATCTACTAAAAAAGTAACGGAATAATAGTTTTGTCATTTCAATGCAAAAGCGCGGTTAGCGCCTTGTACACCCGAAGATGTAGCTATACGTATACTCACACTGCAATGTGTCGAGGTCAAACGTCAATACATTAATCAAGTATGGCATGTAGCTATTCCCAGTAAATGTCAAATCGACGTTTAAATGTTCACCTGAAGCAAACAAACGGGCCTGGTGGGGATTCATAAAGAAAGCAGCTCGAAAGTCTCCAGAAAATATGAAGGGTGTTTTCCTCATAGGATAGGGAAGCGAGAGACCTTTGATTCTCTCTGCCATTTCTGCATTCGTGGACTCGTCTGTTGAAAATAACAAATAGTAATAGACATATACCAATATTCTGAAAGTCTCTTTTGGAACGAAAATGACAACAACGACAACAAAAAAAACTTGAACAATGAAATTGGCTGGGAGAGGTGGGGCAGTTGGGTTTTAGTTACCGTAAAATTCCGAAAATAAGCCCCTCCGTGAATAAGCCCCTTCAAAAATAAATACAAAGTAAAACAAAGCAAAAACGGTAAATTTACTTCCTGCTATAAGGCTAGCCCAATCGATTTTGAAACGCAAATTTCCCTCCGTAGATAAGCCCATCCGAATATGAGCCCCTCCAAAAATAAGCCCCTCAAAAAGGGCCTTTGATAAATATAATCCCCTGGGCTTATTTTTGGAATTTTACGGTATTTGAATAAAGAAAGAAGTAAATAAAGAGATAAGTTTGCTTTTATTAGAAGTTTCTCAAAAAATTAACGCATCCTTTTTCTTGGGATGGCTTGGACAGTCCAAAAAAAAAATGATAATAATAAGTTGCGTTCAGAGTTTTATAAATGTGGAGACTGTCTGGCTTTTCATCTGCCTTTTCATAGTCTGTAAAATAGACTATTTTCGAAGGGGTTTCAAATTAGGTTTATTTTATTTTATTTTATTTTTTCAATTTTTTCTTTGAAATTGTGTAATGATAATTTACTTCTTAAACTTTTAAAGCTTTTCTTTAAGAGATATACCACATTTTTATGCGATCATATAATTTAATTTATATTAAATCAAAATATTAAAAATATATTAGCGGAGAAATTATTTGACTGGTAAGTCTGCCAGAGTATTTACCAGTCATATCTGTCATATCCCGGGTTAAAAAGAAAACCCCGTTTATCATGTCAGCATTTGCTAAACCTTATAGTTGTACTTACGTGCTTTGTGTACCGGTTTGTCCACCTCTTGTTGGATTTCTTTTTAAAAATTGATGATTTTCCTCATCAAGTGAACTTCTCCGTCAACACTTCCAGAACCTTTTAAAGCGACATTTCTCACCCTCCTTACTTTATCTATATTGGCAGCAACAATACTTCTTTCGACAGGAACATAAGAAATACCGTGTCCTGTAAGTTCAATCAAAAACAGTTCGTCACCTAGTGGTCTAAAGGGTCCAGTAACTAAAGTACTTTATAAAGGTGTTTGGGTTCAAATACCTACAGGTATAATTCGTATATGGTACGATAAAGCAATAACGATTTATGATGGGATACCTTTCTGTAGATCCTTTGCCTTTTTGGAAGGGTCCAACAGTAATGCCTGTTGTAAATCTTTGACAACAGAGATCGGCAACTTTCGGGGACTTGGCTTGGCGTGGCGTTTCCAACGGCTTGACGCAAGATTCTGCTCCATTCAGCAATGCTCCTCCCGATCCCTTTTCCGAATGATTGAGACTCGTGAGACAATATCCGCATTCCGCCGTCTTTAGAAGCTGTTGCCGATCCTCTCAGCCAGTTAATTATCTAAAATAGATCGAAAAGTGGATTTAAACATAATAAACGCAAGCAACGTATAGAAATGTTTGCTGGTTTGCCAGTTTTTGTTAGTTTGTTAGTTTGATTTGTTTTTCTTTTTTATGGAGGCATATGACATGAAGCAGGGAGTTTCCTTTGTTACTCAGACATAGAAGAAAATTGATAAGAAATTGGGGATTATCTTTCGTTTGTACTGACAACATATCATAAAAGCCTAAAATTATCGGTTCAAGGGCGCTTAATTAAGACAGCTAGCTACTTGTCCATTTTGTAATTTATGAATGCCTATCCCCGGGGGGGGGGGTACTCCCATATATGGGCTATATAGGTACGTGCCGCGGAATAGTGTATGGTTTTTGAGGCTCTCGGTCCTTAAATAGGGTATCTTTTTTGACCCTTTTGTCTCTGTGTCCCTGGTGTGGTCCTTAGATAGGGTAGCTTATTTGTATTATCTAACGCTGGAGTGTAAAAACGCCCGCCTGAACGAACATTTTTTTTAAAGTTTTCCTTTTCATGCTATTAATAATTTTGTTTTTTCCTTGAATAGGGTGTCATTTTTCGGCTTTCGGCCTTAAAGACGGTATCAGTTTTCGTTATCTTAGTCCTTAAATAGTGTTAGGGTTCACGAACCTTCGCGGCCCACCCCTATCCAAAATTCGCGGGGGTACCCCCCGGCCGCCTATCCACATGAATTGTTTAAGAGTTTCTTACTTACGCAGACACTCACTCTGACGGCGAAGATTCCATATTATTTTTTTAAGGGTGATTAACTGAGATGACCCCTTTTCACTCACCTTTGTTTCACTGCTGTGTTCTCTGAGTTGACCAACCACCTCTAACAGCAACAGGAAATCATCTTTGACGTTGTAATCATTGTCTACGTTTGAATCACATGACTCACCGCAAGTTTCCTTGTATTCTAGTGGCAGGTCTGGGTCTTCTCCAAACCAACCCGTAAGAAAGGCCCTCATGCATTCACCCGTCAATGTGCAGTAAACATATCTAAATGATTTAAACCAAAAAATAATGTTATAATAGCTACCCTTCCCGAATACTTACTTATTTATAAGAAAAAAAGGCGTGTTTAGATACGCAACTGATTAATTTCCAATGAAACACCTGCTTACCCACAAAGGAGACTTTCGTTTGTTTTTAAAAAAATTAATATTAATATTTGAATTAAAAGTCCCATATCTATATGTGCCAAAGATCTAATAATTCATTCTTCTTCGACAATAGAAACTCCTATTTTAAAGGTAATCTAGCTTACCTCCACGATTCTGCATATTGACGCATGATTTGCTCTTTTTCTACTGAATCCACACCTCTGAGCCACGTTATGAGGCGCCGATCATCTCTGAACTCGTTACAATAGATTATACCTGTTCAGACGTAAAAAAAACTATATGTAAAGGCAATAGTTGAACAAATAGACTGTTGAGGCCGGGCGGTGTACGGTCACTTGATTAGCAAATTTCCTGGGATGGGTAGATTTTCTTACCCATGGTGCTTCGCACGCCAGAACTCCGCTATTTGTTGTACTGATATTTACATATTAACTTTGCCAAGGCTTGGAGCTAATGGCTCATCGAATCCTCTCATGATCCATGGCGGTAAGCTCTTTATTTATTTAAGTCCAACAAGTGAAAGATAGGCGTTCTTATGAACAGGGTAAAAGCTTGTGGCCTCATACATGTAATTTCTGCGTCCTATATTTATACTTTAGCGGCTTTTTGCTTTTTTCTTCGAATCTCAAGATTGTTTCAAAATAGCCGTCAAAGCTTACCATTAGCAATTTCCCCATTCCGTCCTGCTCGACCAAACTCGTGTATCCATCCAATACGGGTTCGTGGGCATCCAATCCTGCACACTAGATTTACGTGGTCATCGTGCGTCCCTACCTGGTACGCTTCGGACGCTACGAGAAACTGACTCTCGAGATTCCTGTAAAAAAAGTTGCTGACCATCAGCTAAGAATGATGGTCCTCTTCTATTTTTTTCGCACCATGATATCTCCATGGTAGAAAACAAGACAATTGAGAGCGCTTTTTAAATTATAACAGTATCGCTAATTGACAGTGGCAGTGGCAGTGGCAGTAGTAGTAGTAGTAGTAGTGGTTTTTGTTGTTGTTATTTCTTGCTAAATGAGTAGGGGTGTTGTTTCACAAATCACACCTGAACTTGGACATTGTCTGTAGTTTCTCTTCTTCGTTCATTCCTTTGCCATGACACTTTAGGCAAGTGTGCTTAAGTTCTTCGACCATACAAGTGTGTGCCTCCTTTACGTTCGCCACGAAATCCATAAAGACAATATAGTACTGACCGTCGGCCATGTCGATAATCTTTTCAAGTACCTTTTTCCATTTTGAAGGTGGCGCTAAACAAATCCAACATAAGTAAAATAAACCAAAAAAATGAAAGATTTGCCTGCCTCTGAAATCCAATTTTATAGGAGTTGGTCAACGTTTTATACCCGCATCTTTAAGTATATCGCAAATACTCAGTGCAAAAGCAATAAATCAATTGGTGTGACAACTTTTTGGGAAATAAAACGTTGTTCCCACCTGAACACGAAATCAAGCCTAGAACTGTAATTTCAGTCAAATTAGTTCCTTATTTGAACAGATCATATTTTTTTTGGTTTAACTTCCCTTTTCCTATCCCAGCTGACAAAAGACAAATTTGTTGGCTATTTTAAAAAAGCCCACGACTGTCCACTGAAAGACTTTAAAAAATCAAGCTGGCGTTTTAACCGTCCAGCCAAGCTGCCTCGATAATTACCGTTTTTGTTTAATGTTTTGTCTCCTTTCGGCTCTTTCGAGGTGGATTGGATCTCTGTGCGTTCGCTGCATTTGTCCTGGTTAGATTTTCTGTCATCATCCTCCGCCAAACCCGTTTTCTTTTCTTTTCGTTTCCTTGATTTTTCCACTTTGAAGTCATAATCACCAACACATAACTTGATATTTGGCCTGTTTACTGTCGACTTTACTACGACAGGGTTTTTAAGGTAATGTGATATATTAAAACGATCTTACGAAAAAATAGGGGACTGGGAACAGTCTTGTTTACTGAATGCCATTATAATTTTGATTACCCGCAACGCGTGTAACATCGCGCAAAGAGTTGGGTGGGCCGGAAGCTCTAAGTACGGCTCACAGGATTGGTTTAGAAAACAATAGATAGCCCTAACCCAATCAAAACTAACAATGAACCCAAACTCTGAAACAATAGAGCTTCGGGCCAACAAGAACCTATCAGATTAGAGGTTCTAAAGAGGTTCTGGCCAACAGAAAGAGTTCCGTGTCTTGCTTGCCAATAGAACAAAGGCCGGTCTTTAATTTCCCTTCAAAAAACTTAGAGAGGGCAAAACAATTATTACCCTGGGTGCCAGAGAGTTTTCAAGCGCGGTTTCCGGTTTCTGTCAAGTCTTTATAGTGACCCGCGCGAACAACACCGAAAATTCCCGCTGCATGCGAGAAAAAGGTCTGGTACCCAGGGTAAACAATTATGTCTGAAAGTAGTGAATTTCGCTGAATGTAAAAACTAGTACGTTGCGCAGAAGCTATTAGGTTCGAAAAAGAACGTGGGAATGAACATGACATAAATTACAAAAAAAGGTATCATTGCAAACCGTAAGGTTGAAACCGGGGATTCCTTAAAACGAGGATCAGATACTTGCAGACGGCGGAAAGCGGATGGAAAAATACCGATCTCAGGGGACTATGGTTTTGTTTAGCAACAAGTTGAACTTTTTGCAAATTATTTAACAATTATGAATGAGGCTGAGTATCTTATGAAGAATTATGGAGATCGAGGTAGGTGTTATCGTGGTGTTATCGATAACACCCTCCTCGATCTCCATAATTCTTCATATTATACGAAAGCCGAATTCAATAATTGTTTTATTATTCATTCAAAATAATTCCTAGTTTAAAAACATAGCTAAAACATGCTTACCTTCATCGATGTTAAGTTCGTCATCGATAGTGCACGTTTAGGGTTGTTCAGCTCCGCAAATACCGTAAAGTTCCGAAAATAAGCCCCTCCAGATATAAGCCCCTCAAACTCGTAACGCAAAAAACCCTCCGTTAAATCGCCCCTCCGAATATAAGCCCCTGGGGGCTTGTACTTGGAAAGTGCCCTCAAATACAAAATAAGCAAAAACGGTACAGTAACATATAAATTTTTGTATTTGCCAAAGAACTATTTCATGTCTGCCAAGTGTTTGTAGTCAGAAAGTGTCAAAGTTAATTGCTGTTTGCGTGGTTCCTCTTCACTTTTGGCCTTGATTTCCTCGGTCCATATGGACAAAGTATTTGTAGGGCCACGTTTTAGAAAGGTCTACGTCCTCAAGGCGAGTTTCAGTAAAAACTTTCTGCAAATTACTGACGTAAATTTCCTTTCAACTATAAGCTAGCCCAATCGATTTTGAGACGCAAATTTCCTTCCAAGTATAAGCCCAGCCGATTTTGAAACGCAAACTTCCCTCCGTTTATAAGCCCCTCCAAAAATAAGCCCCTCAAAAAGGGCCTTTGGAAAATAAAAGCCCCGGTAATCTCCAACCTTCGAGTTGTCTTCTTGCTGTTCTTGCCATGTTTTTAGCTATTTTTTCGCCTAGTTCTTACTCTTAAAACGAGTGAAATGTCCGCCATTTTTGTTTTCACAATTAAAACAACTCAACCTCGTCCCAGGTCTTCTCGGTTAACGATGCATTAACCTGCAAGGAAGCTGCACTTTTGACGTCATCGGGTTGATTACTCGCAAAATTCTTCCAAATTTGGTCATCAGTAGCTGGTTATGGTGAGTTATGCTTGTGCTTTTAGCCAATCAGAATCGGGGAAATATTTTGAATGAATAATAACTTTATTTATTGATATCAGAACTTCATAAGGTCAGCAGCCCATAACCCGGAGCGTCTAACTTCCATACTGCCCCTATGCAACGGCGTTTTCACAAGTAGGTCTATTTTTAGATAAGCCTTTCCCGCGAATTGCTTTCGAAAAGCTAATCACTAGCAATTGCGTCATGATAAACTTTTAATAGGTAACTAGGACAACCCCTTATTTTTAGACCAAACTGAGGCCCGAAGGGCCGAAAAAAATCTGCCTTATCTCGATACGAGATAAAGCAAAGGTTACAATTAGGGTTTGCTTCAGTCCCATTTTTCATTTTCACGTTTTCTGTTTTAAGAATTTCCACGTCTTCTTTTCTAGCGCAGAAATTAGTTGACTTATCACTCCGGGAGCCGAATGACGAAACAGTGACCAAAGGCATATGTATATGTACAGCTATAAAAATGAATATTTCATTGCAGGGTACAGTAATTTTGTTTTACTTTCGTTTTCTGCAGCATTTTGCCATAACAAGAATCAATCCGGTCTGCACCGCCGTGAATAGCTTTACAAGTTGAACAGTGAAATTTTATAAAACATATGCTAAATAGCTTGATATCAAGTATCATCATCCCGCTAAAGATGAACTATGAGTTTGATGGCTTTGTAGCGTTTTTGCCGCCGGTTCTTTGAGTTACCACGCGCGTCACACGCGCGTTTCTGGCGTTTATCCTTTCGCCGACAAACGCATCCCCAGGAGGACGTAAATTGTATTCTGTATGAAACCCGTAAGTATTCATGAACTCCTTGGAGTGAGACTGACGAACTTGACCTGATATTTCCCAAGATTGAGACTTGTTAGATCACGTTCTTGATTGTTCTTCAATAATCAAATTTTTCAGCTGTTTTGCTTCCGAAAGACGTACCTTGCCACCAGTCCTTGCTTTTCTCATAAGGATGGCCTGCTTGTGCTGACTTGCTTGGCCATAACTCCCTATCCCCTCCTTTGTACTTATTCTGCTATCGCCATGTTCCTTGTTCCACAGTCTTCGTTCCAGCGAGACCAACCTTGCGTCAAAACGGTACAAAAAATAGCACAAGAAGCCAATAGTGCACAGGGCAACCAATAGATTGAATAT